AAATATACACCGCCACATTTGTGTGTGTGTGTGTGTGTGTGTGTGTGTGTGTGTGTGTGTGTGTGTGTGAGTGAGAGAGAGAGAGAGGAAACCGTGTGAGAGAGAGAAGAAACCAAGTGCTGACACTATCGGACCGAAGAAACCGCCCTTATCAACGGGCAACATGAATCCGGAAGCGGGGCGACATGCACAAAGGACAAAAAATATGGCGGTGTATCTTTCCATGTTTTGGTGGAAGATTCATTCATACGTTGGGTGGTGGAGAACGAAGGGCCAATGAATCCGGTAAGCACGTAACGTATCTCTGGAAACTTTTTTTTTTTTTTTTTTGGAGAGTCTCTGAACAAATGAGACTGAATCCTCCGCTTGAACATGGAAAGATACATTGCCATATATGGGCCTCGCTGCACTACTCTGGAAATCTGCAAAACGAGAGTATATGGGCCTCGCTGCACTACTCTGGAAATCTGCAAAACGAGAGTGAATCTTGCGTTAGAATATGGAAAGATACACCGCCAATATTTTTGTCTTTTGTGCATGTTGAGAGTAGTGCAGCGAGGCCCTATGTCTTGCTAGGTAGATTTCCCGGGCGACCGGGTCGGCGACCAGGCGCCCGGCCGGTCGTGAGGGCTGGTCGGGGTCCCGGGCCCGATTTGCGCGAGTAAAAAAAAAAACGAAAAAGACCCCATTTCGGGCCTGGGGGCCGCCTGGGGGCCTGCGGACCCCACGGGCTGACAAAAAAAAAAATTCTGGCGGCTCTACCGGCCGCAAAACACACCCAAAGTTCAAAGGCCATCTCGGGCCGTCGATCATCAAGATCCACGGCTGGGAAATCGCGCGGGGTGATGGACTTCGCCCGCGCGATTTCGAAGTCGAGCATCCTCGCCCGTTTTTGAGGTTGGGCTTCCCGCTGCCCGTCTGCCCGTCGCACCGCCGCGCCCTCCCGCTGCCCGTCGTCGACACCAGGTACGCCGTCTTCTTCTTCTTCTTCTTCTTCTTCTTCGGGAGTGCGCACGAGAGAGAGAGAGACTCTGAGAGAGAGAGGGAGAGATTTTTTTTTGTTTTTCCATCCTCGGTCCTCCTCCTCCTCCTCCTCCTCTTCTTCTTCCTCTTCTTCTTCTTCTTCTTCTTCTTCTTCTTCTTCTTCTTCTTGGCAGCTCCACATGGCAGCTCGGGAGTGCACACCACGTGGCAGATCGG